CAGTATTCTGACCCGTCTGTCAGTTTGAATTCTGAGCAGAAACTGAAGCAGGGAAAGAACGGCGGCTGCAGGATGGAAAGAAGCAGGAAACCACAAACCCGTCATTACTGCGGCTCCTCAGGCTCTTATTTTGAAGGGGTGGGGCCACAGAAACACTCTAAAATTAGATCATGGAGGTCAGAGAGGAGGCAGAGCAGATGGAATCAGGAGCCGGTTTGGACCAGGACCTGGCAGGTTTCTGAGGGTGGAGTCCAGGTTCTGGTCCTGGAAGATCCAAACAGCAAAGGGGCCACAGGTTAGCAGAGGCCCCGAGCAGAAGTCATGTTGGGCCCCTTCCTCCGGTCCTGCTTTATTCTACCTCCAGCTTTTGTGTTCAGCTCAGAATTATTCATACCCCTGGCAGGCGGAGCTTTCTTCAGGCTGAATCCGCTCCAGGTTAATCCATCTGTTCTTCTGGTTCCTGTTGTCCCCAAAGGAGAGCAGAATTTGGTAAAGCCATGAGAACCTGAACTGAATGTTCCTGGAACCTGGGAGCTCCTGGAGAACCCTGAGAACCTCCTGTGACTGATGGGTTCAGCAGCTGTCAGCTCAGACTCCAGCAAACATCCAGCTGCTGAGAGAAGAGTCAAACAGGAAACACAAGCTGCGTCCCTTCAAAATAAAAGCTGTATGCTGCTGTTGGGGTGTGCTTTATTTCTCCATGTGTTTCTCCTCAGAACTGAACCTCAGGATTCCCCGTGTGTTTGTAGGAGGGTTTGGGAGGAATCCCAGGCAGAGCAGAAGGTAGAAGGAAAAACCTGCAAACTGCTGGAAGAACCAAGGAAAAGTTTGCAGCTCTGAGCTTCTATCACAGACAATTGATCAGAAACACCAAATTCATCGGTTCTATCAGATTTGATGTCAGTTCTTGGTTCTGTTCTCCTTATTGAACCCAGTCTGAACCGAAATCAGATTAGCTTCAGAGATGTTTTTCTTCCCACCGTCGCCGAACTTGCTCTGTTTTCCCTTCTCTTCCGTCCTCAGCGAGTTCTGAGGTTCTGCAGAACGTGGCGACCAGCTGAGGTGCCATCTAAACCTGCAGGAACCCATTTAAGCTGATAAATCAAAGTTCATTCAGAACTCTAGCTGAACGTTCAGGAGCTGGATTTGCTGAGCAGTCAGAGAGGCTTTTATTTTGAAGAGCATGACAGGAAGCAGCATGCTGCATTGGTTCAGACTCTACTGTGTGCTGAGCAGCTCAGACTGAACCTCAGACTCCGTCTGACCCAAACCGCTGCTGGACCTCTTCTTTCTTCTGGCTCCACTTTTTCTTCTTCTGGACGTTTCGTTCTGTTTTCCAGAACCGGTCTTTTTATCTCCTGGTTCTGTTTCAGCTTTTTTATTCTTTAGTTTTGTAGAATTTTGTTTCTGTTTTTTTTTTTTCTCATCTTTCCAGGTTTTGGATCCAGATTGGTTCTGTGTTCTGGGAATTCCTCTGAGGTTTGTGTTTGTGGACTTGAGTGGAATGTGTCTGTGGGTCTGAACATCGAGAACCTCGCTCAGAACCTTCATCATCTCACTGGAGCTGAACAGAACCAACATTCAGGGATACAGAGATGCTGGTTCTGTTCCTCCTTGTTCTGGACCTGCTCTCCTCCAGGGCGGCTCCACCGGTCCCATCCTCCATCCCAGACCCCCTTCTGGAATACGTCCCACCGGAGAAGGAACTGGTAGACGGCTGGATCCAGAGCAGGAACAGAACCGGCACCAGAACCGCCGAGTTAGAGGGCTGCGGACCGTGCAATCCGGAGCTGTGTCCGCAGACCCGTGGTTGCCGGGCCGGACTGGTTCTGGACTCCTGCGGATGCTGTCAGGAATGTGGGAACCTGGAGGGCCAGGCCTGTGACCCGGGGCCCCTGAATGTGTTCTACGGTCTGTGTGGAACCGGGCTTCGGTGCCAGGCGGACCCGGGGCCCGCTGCAGGAGGAGAGGATGAAGAGGAGGTGTGTGTGTGTGAGCAGCAGGAGGCGCTGTGCGGCAGCGACGGAACCACCTACAGGAACATGTGTCGGTTCAGAGAGGCCGCCTTCTCCGACCCGGAACTCCGAACCGTAGGGAGGGGTCCCTGCCGGACAGGTACCGACACCTGAAAACGGGTCTCTCTCTCTGGGTCAGAACCAACCCAACTTTTCAGGAAATAGATCTTTACTATTTTAGACCCAATAAGGTTTTAAACCAAATGAAATATTCAGGAAACACTTCCTGCTTTATGCATCATAAACAGTCATGAATGGGTTTCTATAACATTGATCCTGTTTGGCCCCATTAGCTCTGAGGTTCTTTGAAACGAGGACTGGATCAGAACCAGTTCTGGTTGAATGTTCAGAGGAACCAGAATGAAGTCAGTGTTCAGTGAATGAACAGAGGGTGGGGGCCAGCTTCCTCCTGAACAAAGGTCTGGTTCTAGGAGCTGTGCTCCAGATGGGGAGGTGGGGGGATTGCTGCCCCTCACCTCCAGACTGAGGACCCCACCCTTCTCCCTCTACAAACAGAGGGAGCCGTGATTCAGCAGCAGGAGCTCCACCATCACCTCCTCAGAACCTCCAACCACAGCTGAGAGGAGTTCTGGATTTAAAGATCCTGATCTGATCTGAAGCAGTTCATTAATACGGATCTAAAGCAGTTCATTGATCCGGATCTGAAGCAGTTCATTGATCTGATCTGATCTGAAGCAGTTCATTGATCCGGATCTGTAGCAGTTCATTTATCCAGATCTGATGCAGTCATTGAACCGGATCTAAAGCAGTTCATTGATCTGGATCTAAAGCAGTTCATTGATCCGGATCTAAAGCAGTTCATTGATC